TAAGGCACTAATCTTGTACGGTGGTTCTTGAAGAGATCAACAAGGGTTTGTCTAAAGATGTTTCAGAATGGATTGGGGGCCTTCAGTTTATATTTTTAGTTAGTTTTTCTAAGTAGAGTCATTATAAGTAGTTTTGGTGATTAATGGTTGTGATTTAAAGCATAGGCTTCCAGGCTAAGGCTATTCACGCACATACAGCTACACACACAATTGTATTAATTTCAAGGAGATTTCAAAGTTTGTGCTTTCTTGAACATGTTGAACACCTTTTCACCTTACAACTGCACAACCTATTTTCTTATGCAAAATAAGCTCCACACACAGCTCTGGTACTTCCTGAACTTCAGTTAGCTCCTTTGTTTACTGCCTTATATTTCTTGGAGGAAGTGATTAATCCAGGTGTGTCTGACCTCTGGAACCAGCCAGACACGCATGCATCAATAAATTGTCCAGTAATGAAAGACAACACAAAAAGGAGCTGGCTGAAATTTAGAAACGCAACATTCAGATCAAATCGTGCTCCCCCATTTCCCCCTTAACTCCTTTTGATTACTTTCAAAAATATGGCTTCAGCCAACAAATTTTGTGAAGCTGTTTGGCCCACTGTCCAGCATCCCTAATATGCATTTACATGGAGATGTAAATATCGAAATAAAAATGCCAATATTTTAAAAGTTTAAATGAGTGGGGCCTTGTCACACAATAATATAATTAATGTGCTTTATTTAAAGCACCATGCTTTGGTTTGGACAGAAACACTTTGGGAAAACTGTATAGCTGTGCCTTAGTTCCCATCCAACTGGGCATTCTAGGATGACCTTGACAGAAAAGCTAACTTGTCAATAAATCAGCATATGTACCCTGAAAACCATGTTACTTCTATTGACTACTTTGTCTTAATATGCAAAAGGGTAACATATCTACAAAAATTTTATGAAGAATTCTTCTTTTTAAAATAATCTCCAGAGATTCTACAGGAGTTCCTCGAACAGAGCCAGCCTTCTTTATCAGCTTGTTGAGCTTTTTTAGTCCTTTGCTCTGATGCTGTTACCTCAGCAGATGATGACAGAAGAGATTTTTGCTGCATTTTGCTGCAAGGACAGCAGTCTGCGTTCTCTCTTCTTGTAGTTCATAGTTGTGTTTTCAGTGAACAACAAGGTATTTCTACACCTTCACCACCTTTCCTTCTTCTCATATGATGTAAATAGAATTCAACTTGCTGGTTCTTCAGAAATCTACCTCCATCTTATTTGGTTTGTTGACATTCAGGATCAGATGTATGTTTACACACAATGCCACAAGGTGGTTCACCTGCTCCATGTACTCAACTTCTTGTCCATCGTTGATCAAGGAGATCAAACAGGAAGAGTAAAAATGAATCCATCTACATTTTCATCAGGAGACTACAGCTAAGAATTATTTAAAGTATTTCAAAAATAAAGCATTTGAATATCACATGTAATTCAGAATGTCTGTAAGAAATAATATGTATTATGAAAAAGGGGATATTTAACTTATGTATTTAGGCTAATTATTTTGGCCAAATAATGTTTTATTTGCCTCATGGATTTGCATTGTATAATGGTTTGAAAACATTCAAATTGCTTTAAATCAGTGAAAAGCTAATTTGATCACATCCCAAATTCTTACACATAAACTTTGGTTTTAGAACACAAAATCCATCCTAAACTGTGATATGGTTTTCAACCATGTTCCCCTAACTCTTTGTACATAGTAGCTTAGTTTAGTTGAGTTTCACTAGTTTTTAGTCAAGAGTTTTTAACTGAAATATGGTTGACTTGGAACTGCACGATGATATTTTAATAAACTCTTATATTATGAAAGTAAGTTGTGGTGAATTTTTTCCATGTACTTGCAGAATTATATGATTGACCATGATTTGAGCTCAAATCACAGTTTCATTTGTTGTGCTAACACACAGCTAGTAGGGCGTGTGTGTTAAATTTTTACTATAAGTTGGTAGTTGAGCATTTTCTCTAGAGCAAAGATCTGTGACAAGCAACGCCTCTCTCTTAACCTAACCCTAACCCTAACATAGCTAAGTGCATGACCCAGAGTCCCTTTAGAGCCAGAACTTCGGAAAAACAACCCCAACTGGACTAGAAAGGAAAAGTGAACCTGTAAACAAAACTGGACAGAAATCCTTCTAAAAAGATCCTCAATGTCATAACTAACAAACAGAAACACTAGCCTCCCTGAAACAGGTTAAAAAAGGGCACTCAAAATGATGTCTATGTCTAAGTGCGCTAGGCTTACCACACTGTGACGTCACTGTCGAAAAGATGTAAGGACTGGGGTATTACTATATTTGGACAAAAATGGCCGGAGATCAGACTCAGTGATCGCGATATAAAATATTGTCGTTTTTTTAAATACAGATTAACACTAAATTTATTAAATCACTGCGAACGTATTAGTTGTAGCTATAAATATTGACCCATTGGTTCATTTCTTGCTGTAATCTGCTAAGCAGTATCAGCCCCGCTGCTGTGTCTTGTTTGGTCACGCCCGCACCTGGCGTGGAGTGGTTCACATTTTGCATGACCACAGATAGATCATGCCAGCAGTGGCAGAGGAGAAAATAAGCCAGAAAGGACTGGTACTGAGTGCTCAACTCACAAACTGTCTTCTTTCAGCTGTGCTTGAGCAGAAATTTGTCTTTGCACAGCTTAGCTCAGATTCTGCGCATTACATCCCACACTGATGGTTTGCTCTCGGCAGTATGGCTCTTCCTGCTGTCGCTACTTAATAAACTATGCGCTTAAACATCCTTCTGCCAAGTGTAAAAAATCCATTTGTTTAACTATGAAGATTTTATTTCTTCAAATTCATAAGAGGTGATGGTAAACATTCTTTAATTTCTACCAAAACGAATACCTAAATTGTATCCAAAGAAAATATTTCATGGCATGTTTATTTTTAGATAAAGAGCCAGGTGAAAAAGGTACATAGTTCTTTCAATATTAATTTCTCACAGTCCTCATTTCTATCTATTTAAATATGATGTAAATGTCTGCTTTTATTGTCATTAAAACATGTTTCCTTTGAATATGTCAACACTTTAGCAAGCATTTTGATTCAATTTAGGTCTTGATTGCCATTGCATTGCAAGGTAATTAAGTAGATTCTCTCTGTTCTCTCTCTCTCATTAATTCATTAAAAAGTTTATTTGAATTCTATAAATCAAAGTTTTCTGCCCAACAGCAATGATGAAATGCATGGCAGACTTTTTAAGTTTTAGTAGACTTAAACTGACCAAAACTATCACATATTGTAATGACTGAAATGTGACTGAGACTAGTAATAGTTTTTGTCCTGATGAATAAGACTAAGACTAAATCTAAGATGGCTGTCAAAAACAACACTGTTTGAGATATCATATTTTTTGTATTTAAGGTAACGAAATGAATAGAATTGACCAAGGAGGTGCAGTATAAACTTTTTCCATCTTCTTATTTAATACATGTTTATAAGTATAAACCTTAAAAACAAACTAGAATTGGGATTCAAGAATAATGATTTTTAAAGTAAAAGCAGAGGTAAAACAGCAAATAATAAAGAGAAATATGAGAATGCAAAGATTTCCAGATACTTAAAATTTTCTTCTTTATTTTGATCCAGGTTTGCATTTTTAAAGAGGTATAAAAATCAGTTTTATGTCTGTTTTAGTCTGTCGAAATTTAACACTACTGAAATCACATAATCTCTAAAATCTCAGAAACAGACCTACTAAGTTATACTTGCCTTGTAATAGATTTATCAACTACTAGTAATAGTTTGAGCAAGTAATAATAAGTAACAGATTTAAGCTTTCCAGAACACTTACATGAAATAAATATAAGTCAGACAACACCAATAATTACAAATATAGTTTTTAAATATTTTTAATAAGAAGAGAGCAAAAACACTGCATAGGCCAAATTTACCTAAACCAAATATTTTATAAAGTAGCTCGAAAATGGTTTATTTCAAGGGCTTATTGCTATATACCTGCACGTCCGTTAGGACATATTCTGCATATTCTGCTTTAGAACATCAGACAGATGTTGACATTTTTATTCTTTGCATCTTTTAGAGATTCAAACAATATTGCAATGTTGATACACTTTATGATTAATATCTGCTTTTCTGTTAGGTTTCCTCATTTCTTCAGGAAATGTTTTAACACAGTCAGTACATTATGCTGATGCCAGAGGAGTCAGGCTGCAGAAACCTAAGTGTAAGGCAAGGGCAATTAGAACTGGAGAAAAAATTTAAAGAACAACTTTAACAGATTTGGGAGCGAACAGTTAAAGAAACAAGTCATGACATTATGTTGATCAGTTATGTATTAAACTTAATGTCTTTTAAGAAATTGTGAAGGGTCAGACAGAGTGGAGGCAAAACCAGATGTTGGGATTTATTGACAATCTAATGGCTGCTTAAAACATTCACACAGTAAGCTTTTCTTCTAAATCTGTTCAGTCATCGAAAAAGCAAATGTGCTAATTTTGTTACCAGCAAGAGAAATCTTTACAGTTTTTTTCCGTAATTTACATCCTTAGTATAACCTGAGGACTAAGCCTCTCATCCTTAAAACTCAGGGACACTTCAGCTTGGTTGCATTTAAGATTTCCTAGCAAGAAATATTTGGATGCAAATTTATGCTAAAACTAATGGTTGCATCTGGAGGAAGTGAAGTTCCCATTTTATCTACCTCCAAAAATGTAATCATAGGACATTTTCTGCTTTATTTTACCAAATATTTTTTTTCATAGTATATGCCATACATGTACAACTAAAAAGAAGCAAAAGCAAAAATTAATTGACAAGGCAAATGACATTTGCAAGCTTTTAATGTGGGAGATATTAAGCTGTTGCAGTATATGGCTTACTGCTTAGATTTTCTCTCCGAATTTGTAATGTAGATGTAATCTAATCCTTTTCTATATACCTGCAGTCAGGAGGTATTCTGCTTTAGAACATCAGAAAGATGTTGACATTTTTATATGTTGCATCTTAGAGAGATTAACACAATATTGCAATGTTGATACACTGTGATTAATATCTCCTTTACTGTTAGGTGTATTTGAGGAAATGTTTTAACACAATCAGTACATTATGCTGATGCCAGAGGAGTCAGGCTGCAGTATCCTAAGTGTAACAATGAGCCTAATCGATTTTCTAAACCAGGGGTAAAAAAACACATAGATGATGGGGTTTAATGAAGAGTTAAAGTAAAACAGAAAAACCACAAATGTTGCAGATGATGCTTGAATTAGGGTGTCCTGACCTGTTAGAGCAACAAAATAAAATGGGCATAAACAAAGCACAAAAACAAGCACAACAACACCAAGTGTCCTGGCTGCCTTAATTTCAGATTTTTTAGCTGTGATCGAAAACCGTAACACAACGGTTGCAACCTGAGAACGCATGGCCCGGGCCTGAGCCACTGCCACCACAAACACCCTGATATACAGGACCAAAATCACAGTAATGGGTACGATAAATGATACCGTAAGATCTGCTATTCCAACAATGTAGCTGATAATTACCACACACTCTCCAACACAGGAGTTATACATGCCAGGTTGTTTTAGATTATCTTGCTGAATCAGGCTCTGAAATATAAAAGCACAGGTCCAACAAAGCCACACACAAATTGTCACTCTTTTTTGTGTCATCTTACTAGAGTAATGCAGGGGAAAACAAATGGCCACATAGCGGTCAACACAAATAAGCACCATGGTTCCTATTGAAGCACCTGTTATAAAATATGCCAGACAGTTATACAGGAGACACATCATGTCACCAAAGAACCAGCACCCTTCAATAAGAGTTATCTGAAAAATCATGATAAACCCGACTAAAAAATCAGAGACAGCGAGAGAGAGGAGGAGGATGTTGGTTGGAGTGTGGAGCTGCCTGTGAAGAAAGAACAGCAAATATTGTTTAGAACATTTTCTATGACAGTTTCCAGAAATTACAAAAGTCAGTAATGTTTCATAAAACTTAACAGTTTTTTGTTAATTCTAGTTGTGATGACCTGAAGTGTGAAATGGAGATAATGACGAGGAGGTTTAGAAATACAGTGAGCAAAGCAATGGAGAACAATATAATATACAGGTGCTGGTCATAAAATTAGAATATCATGAAAAAGTAGATTGATTTCAGTAATTCCATTTAAAAAGTGAAACTTGTATATTATATTCATACATTACATACAAACTCATATATTTCAGATGTTTATTTTGTTTAATTTTGATGATTACAAATGACAACAAATGAAAATCTCAAATTCATCATATCAGAAAATTAGAATATTGTGAAAAGGTTCAAAATTGATGGCCCCTGGTGCCACACTCTAATCAGCTAATTAACTCAAACCACCTGCAAAAGCCTTTAAATGGTCTTTCAGTCTAGTTCTATAGGCTACACAATCATGGGGAAGACTGCTGACTTGACAGTTGTCCAAAAGACGACCATCGACACCTTGCACAAGGAGGGCAAGACAGAAAAGGTCATCGCTAAAGAGGCTGGCTGTTCACAGAGCTCAGTGTCCAAGCACATTAATAGAGAGGCGAAGGGAAGGAAAAGATGTGGTCGAAAAAAGTGTACAAGCAAGAGAGATAACCGCACCCTGGAGAGGATTGTGAAACAAAACCCATTCAAAAATGTGGGGGAGATTCACAAAGAGTGGACTGCAGCTGGAGTGAGTGCTTCAAGAACCACCACACACAGACGTATGAAAGACATGGGTTTCTGCTGTCGCATTCCTTGTGTCAAGCCACTCTTGAACCACAGACAGCGTCAGAAGCGTCTTGCCTGGGCTAAAGAGAAACAGGACTGGACTGCTGGTGAGTGGTCCAAAGTCATGTTCTCTGATGAAAGTAAATTTTGCATTTCCTTTGGAAATCAAGGTCCCAGAGTCTGGAGGAAAAGAAGAGAGGCACTTCATCCACGTTGCTTGAAGTCCAGTGTAAAGTTTCCACAGTCAGTGATGGTTTGGGGTGCCATGTCATCTGCTGGTGTTGGTCCATTGTGTTTTCTGAGGTCCAGGGTCAACGCAGCCACATACCAGGAAGTTTTAGAGCACTTCATGCTTCCTGCAGCTGACCAACTTTTTGGAGATGCAGATTTCCTTTTCCAACAGGACTTGGCACCTGCACACAGTGCCAAAGCTACCAGTACCTGGTTGAAGGACCATGGTATCCCTGTTCTTAATTGGCCAGCAAACTCTCCTGACCTTAACCCCATAGAAAATCTATGGGGTATTGTGAAGAAGAAGATGCAATACACCAGACCCAACAATTCAGAAGAGCTAAAAGCCACTATTAGAGCAACCTGGGCTATCATAACACCTGAGCAGTGCCACAGACTGATCAACTCCATGCCACGCCGCATTGCTGCAGTAATACAGGCCAAAGGAGGCCCAACTAAATACTGAGTGCTGTACATGCTCATACTTTTCATGTTCATACTTTTCAGTTGGCCAACATTTCTATAAATCCTTTGTTTTTATTGGTCTTCAGTAATATTCTAATTTTCTGATATGATGAATTTGAGATTTTCATTTGTTGTCATTTGTAATCATCAAAATTAAACAAAATAAACATCTGAAATATATGAGTTTGTATGTAATGTATGAATATAATATACAAGTTTCACTTTTTAAATGGAATTACTGAAATCAATCTACTTTTTCATGATATTCTAATTTTATGACCAGCACCTGTACATCAGCAAGAGCTCATAGTAAGGATGCCTTATCTTCCTGCAGGACGAATTGAAGAGTTGAGGAAAACAGAGTTCAGTTTCCTCCATCATTACAGAAAGTGGCAGAGCTGAACTAAGGCTAGTCTATCTTTTATGTCCCCTACCTATCAGTCCATCTGGCTTCTTTAGCTTGATTTTTGTCCCAGTGGGAAGATGCCCAAGGGATGTCCCAGGACATGTTGGAGGGACTATATCTCTCGACTTGCCTGAGAGCACCACTGGGTTCTCCCACAGAGCTGGAGGAGGTGTGTCTTGGGGTATCTACTGAGATTCCTGCCCCTGCGACCCAGTTACTAATGAAATCGAAGATGAAGAGAAGTACCTAAGTACTGCTGCTCATAGACAATCTAAGTAATTACATTGTTGAAGGCTTATTCCTATGGAAATCTGATCATGTGTCTTTGATTTTGGAGATTTTAAGATATAAGTACCCATTATCCCACAATTAAATAAACTGATCTAAACCAGGCTGTGGCAAGCCTCCTTATCCTGCAAAAGGCTAACAATTGAGTTGTTTGCAAATTTGATTGTAACTTCCCTCCGTTTGGCTCTGACACTCATTAGTGTAAAACCTGAATAGCAGGAGGGACAACACGCAAACCTTTGGAGAACAAGTTGAGCATGTTTGTGTCTTGGAAAAAGTGTTATTAACTCTTGTTCCTAGATTATCATAAAATCCAGCAACAGATGTTGCCAAAGTCAAGTACTGAGAGATCAGCCACTATCCTGAGCATGATCTGGCTGCATGCAATTGAAGGGTTAGGATAATTCAGTAAAAATGAAGCTCTAGCGGAAGTTCAATTGAAGAAACTCTGACTTACCTCCATCCAATCAGAAGCCGATCCGTCTCTGAAGCGAGCCAATCAGCTTCGAACTACTCCACCACGAAGTCCAATCCGCGTCCTGCTTCCACTTTATAAACTCCCTCAAATCTCACCCCAGCCGCTATCCTGCAATCGCAATGTCGGATTTCGATTCAGACGACAATTCAATTTTCCCTGCTCGGAGAAGCTCCCGTCTAGCCGCTCTCATCTCCTTCTTCCGCGTTACACTCCAAGGGTATATTGCCAGGCTCCGACCTAGACTCTGCTCAGATTGCCTTAACGAGCCTCCCTCTTACCTCCTCGTGATTCATCTCCCTCGCCTTCCGCTCTTCAATCTGCTCAGATTCCTGGCCGCAAAAAACATGCAAGTCCTCCGCTCCCCTCGCCAGGCGCAGAAGGCCTCCCGGATCTGTCCCAGCAGCAGTCACCGCTACGCCCGCTCCTTCTCATCGTTTCGATGCAGCCTTGGACCTTCTTCAGCTTCCTGATTCATAGCAGCCTCCCGTCTAGTCCTTCTGGCGTTTAACAGCTCTCAGCCTCCCTCCGCTCCACCGGACTCTCTCACTCAATCCTTCGACGCTGTCCGCACGCTCCAAACGCGGAAATCCCTGCACTGCCACGTCATCCCTGCTGCTGTCTGCTCAGACGGTCCTCCCCCTCCCCTCATTCACATTAGGGAACGCCCGCCTTAGGTAAGACGTATTCAACCATGTTTTCATTCATAATTTTCTATCTACTTGAGTTCGCTCTTTATGCTTTGCCTGCCTCTTATTCAGGCATACCTTATATTAACATGCATGCGGATAATTCCACTAGCCTCGTTCTAATTATTCAGGGGAAATATTTTAATTTAGTCTTTCTATTCTTCCCTCCCCTGAAGTCGATCAGCAGGTCGCATCAGCAGGTGACGTCACAGTTTTCCTTAAATCATCCGATCTCCGTCTACCAGAGATCTTTCTATTGGCCAATTTTGGCCGCATTCAGCATCTATCGTGATTACTTAGAGCTTCTGCAGGAGGCCCATCTGAATCAGTCTGTCCCCGCCGTCCACGCTTCATATATATCGTACCTCAGTCTTAGCAGCCGTCATCTTACCACCCCTTATTATTACTTCTGATTATCGTTCTGTCTTCTTCATCAAAAAAAAAAAAAAAAAAAAAATACAAAACTGATGTTCTCCATCAGTCATTTCTAAATGCCAATTGCGATCCTTGCAAGGTCAGCTAATTTGCTATGCGCTTATTTCTCAAGGCCGCTCTTTCATTTCCCAGTTGTTTGATCCAAGAATTTCCGTCCCTCTCCTTGGTCAGATTACTGAACGTAGGCTGCCGTTCGGATCTCCTGGTCAGACTGCTCCTAAATTGGAACAAATTTTTCTTTTCTATGTCAACATCATCTATCTCTTGCCATGCTCCAAAATTTTACGGATGCTGCATCTGTAGGTTTTGGGGGTTCTTCAGGACAGGTGGTTCGCGGTCATGGCCTATTTTAGTCACACCCAATTATCTGCTCGTGTGAGGTCTTCCCTTAGCTAGCTTGCCATCGTGGGGCTTTGGGAAGGAATCGCGTCCACCCACTGCGATAACTTCGTAGTAGTTGAAGCCACTAATAAGTCACTCCTCCTCCCAGTCTCTCATGCCCTTCATCAGAAGCATCACTGGCAGCAGTCACTAACGTTTCATCATCTCGGCGCGTCATGTTTCAGGCATTCTAAGCACTTTCATTTCGCCCAAGGGTTACCCTACGTCCACTCATGGTTCCTTCACCACCTCAGGATACGCTTAGTATCATGTGGCTTCCCTCTAGTAGGTAATCTGGGCATTCGTTCTGGACCGAGCAGCTGCATCGCAGCTACTCGCGGGGTTCTGAGGCTTCCCTCAGCTCTGGGCCGATGGTCATCAGCCTATACCTCATTCATCCGCCCAGAACTCTCACCAATTCTCGCAGCTCAGCGCTCTCTCTGCCTCTAGGTAACTCTATTACAAATACTGGTGGTGGTTCAACTCATTCTCATAATTTTCTGACCTAATCACGACCATCCTCTAACTCATTTTTCTACTCCCATTCCTTATCAGTTTTCTTCATTATTCCCTGCTTCATGCAGTCTTCCATGCTGTCTCCTTGCTATATTCATGCTGTCTTCATTTTGGCTCGCATTCATGAAATCTCACCTTTATGTCAGGCATTTACATGCATTCTCCTGTGTGTCACGTCACGTCTGGTCTGTGTCTCGTCATGCATCCTTGTCACCATTTAGCATGCTATCCCTAATGCATCAATTGTTCATATATGTTATCATCCGCAAGAATCATCCGCAAGATTCATTATCAGACTCATCCGCAAGATTCATTATCAGACTCATCCGCAAGATTCATTATCAGGCTCATCCGCAAGATTCATTATCAGACTCATCCGCAAGATTCATTCCCTAATGCATCACATGCTCCCTATCTGTGTCTCGTCGTGTCTCGTCATGCATCCTTTACGCCATTTTGCATGCATTTCCAATGCATCAATATGCACCATGTCTGCGTCTCGTCATGTGTCTGTGTCCCGTCATGTTATATGTTCTAAATGAACTCATCCGCAAGATCATTATCAGACTCATCCGCAAGATCATTTTCAGACTCATCCGCAAGATTCATTTTCAGACTCATCCGCAAGATTCATCATCATCGCCATCATAATGCGATACATCATCATCATCATCGTCATCCGCAGGATTCATCGTTATCATCGTAATCGTCATGGGTAAGTCATCATCATCATCATGGGTAAGTCATCATCATCATCATGGGTAAATCATCATCATCATCATGGTTAAATCATCATCATCATCATCACCATCATCATCATCATCATCGTCACCATGGGTAAATCATCATCATCATCATCATCATGGGTAAATCATCATCATGATCATCATCATGGGTAAATCATCATCATCATCATGGGTAAATCATCATCATCATCATGGGTAAATCATCATCATCATCGGTAAATCATCATCATCATCATCATGGTTTCATCATCATCATCATCATCATGGGTAAATCATCCTCATCATCATGGCTAAGTCATCATCATCATCATGGGTAAATCATCATCATCATCATGGTTAAATCATCATGATCATCATTACCATCATCATCATCATCGTCACCATGGGTAAATCATCATCATCATCATCATCATGGGTAAATCATCATCATGATCATCATCATGGGTAAATCATCATCATCATCATCATGGGTAAATCATCATCATCATCATGGGTAAATCATCATCATCATGGGTAAATCATCATCATCATCATCATGGGTTCATCATCATCATCATCATCATGGGTAAATCATCATCATCATCATGGGTTCTTCATCATGGGTTCATCATCATCATCATCATGGGTTCATCATCATCATCATCATGGGTTCATCATCATGGGTTCATCATCATGGGTTCATCATCATCATCATCATCATGGGTAAATCATCATCATCATCATGGGTTCATCATCATGGGTTCATCATCATCATCATCATCATCATGGGTTCATCATCATCATCATCATGGGTTCATCATCATGGGTTCATCATCATGGGTTCATCATCATCATCATCATGGGATCATCACCATCATCATCATCATCATGGGTTCATCATCATCATAATCATGGGTTCATCATCGTCATCATCATCATCATGATGGGATCATCATCATCATCATCATGGGTTCATCATCATCATCATCATCATCATCATCATGGGTTCATCATCATCATCATGGGTTCATTATCATAATCATCATCATCATGGGATCATCACCATCATCATCATCATCATGGGTTCATCATCATCATCATGGGATCATCATCATCATCATCATCATGGGTTCATCATCATCATCATCATCATGGGTTCATCATCATCGGTAAGTTTTCGGCATCAACCGTGGTCGCCATCCTCATCAACAACCTGGCTCGGTAAGTTGTTCGCAAACCTTCTCAGCATTTCATTACGCATTCTTTATTCTGTCCCTAGTGTATGCCCTACGAGCATACGGACTCTCCGGCCTCGACCTCGGCTTTTTGGGGGAACATCCCTATTCACATTTATCTACTCATGCATGTTAAAGCATAATTCAGCATGAATGTTCCTGCCGAGGTCTGAGTGCCAAAGACTATACTTTCTTATCAATAAATTCTTCTAATTATCTTTTCTCTCTGTGTGAG